TCGGTAAAGTCACGTAGGTATAAAATAAAATAAATCATGACGTTTCGGGCGCAAAACACAAGCGTCCGTCATCAGGTGGGACAACCACAACAAGAAACAATTGCTGAAGTGGACAAAACACAAGCAGCTTTCAAGTACCTCCGTAGTAAATTTCTAAGGTTAAGTGAAGCTAAGATGACGTAAGGTGTCTTTGTTGGTCCTCAGATTCATGAACTTCTTCTAAATGTTGCATTTGACAGTGCACTGCGTGGCAAGGAAAAAACGGCACGGAAACCTTCCAGTTCGTGGCAACACATTTTCTCGGAAACAACAAGGCAGACAACTACAGGGAGTTGGTGGAAAACGTCCTCATGGCATACAAAAGCCTTGGTTGCAACACGTCACTAAAAATTAAATGTTTGCAGTCTCATCGAGAGTTTTTTTCTCACCGAACTGCAGAGCAGTGAACGACTTCGCCAGGACGTTGCAACAATGGAGAAACTGTGAAATTTAAAGCTTTCGTGACTGCAGGGATTCCTCTTCTTAGTTCTTTCTACGCATTTCACAAGTAGTACTAATCGCATATTTGCATTTCCCATAAATATGCTAAATTCCTCTTGATATGCAAATTATTTTGTCAAGGCGCTCTTCCCCCCTCCATCCCAGCTTAAATAGACGCTCCAAGCCTGGGGTGTGTCATTCAGACTCTGTCTTCTCGACAGACCTGTTCTCCACCTGAGGACGGCTGCTTGCGTTGTGGCCGAAACGTCGTGAGAATTATTTTATTGTTTTATTTTTGTTATTTTATTATTTCCATTCTCCGTGACTTTACCGAAAGAACCAAGAAAATGGAGAAACGCTGTCAGGGCAAACGGAGCCCATCAATGCTTGCAGACTCTTGCTGGACAGTGACAAGAGATGCTCCATTTAATGAATACAAGAGACAAGCCAAGAAGCACCAAGAAGACACTGAATAAGGACTAAACTATGTACTTATATATAAAGAATCGTTTTTTGCCTTTTTTCATAATACATTTTATTTATAGAACCTTTTGCTGATTTTTTTAAGTGTTACATGAACAGGCCAGGTGACATGTTACCATGTAAAGCAACCATAAACACATGAAAAGACCTAGGTTTACAATTTATGAGTAAAACTCTACTATTTACACAATATACATAGACGTAAAATGTAAAAAAACTTATCTTGGGAACAGTAGCCAATCAGTTGTTTTAATTGTCAAATTTGAATTCAGCACATCAAAATCCATAATGAACAACACATTTCATCTCTGAATCAGACGACGTCCAAAATAATGTTTAGACCAGTGTTACCCCAGCTGGCTACGTACATAGAGAGCGCTTCTCTTGCAAACATATACCAAATTCAGAGTATATAAAAGAGATAAAAAAATATATATTTGCCTAATTTTAGAAACCACAACACCTTCATGGTTTACTCCACCTGTGTGTAAACAGAGGTGCGGGGGAAGGACACCAAACTAAACACAAAGCAGTTAAAAAAATGTCAATTTAGATTTTAACACTCTGCACAATAGATACCCCTTACACGCAGGAGCCAGGCTGAGAATCCTGATACTCGGGACTACGAACCCACACAAACCTACCCGTGAACCTGAACTACAAACCCCAAAAACCTGGACAGGGCCTTAATAGCTGCTCACTTTGGCCCGGACAATCTATAAGGCCTTGGTGGTGGTGTGTGCACGTGTGAGTGTGTGTATGCATTCCTATTGTGGGGAGCGATAGTGTAGCGGTTTGCGCGCTGCGCTATGAACCCGAGTTCGATTCCCGCTCACGGCCAACACCAGTGACGATTAGCTGAACCGCTCCTGGGCATCCCTTAGGTCGACTCAGCCTCAAATGAGTACCCGGTGCGGTGTGTAAACATCACCACTAGGGAGACAAAGGCGGTCGGGCGTGGTGCTGGCCACCCACACCCCCTTGTGTACCGTTGCGGCCTTCATAGGTGCTCGCTAACAGCACTTGCCCCTACAGTCTGTTAAGGCTTTATGGGGGATCTTTATCTTTTATGCATTCCGATACGGGGCTTGACAATGATTGACGCTTGAAAGAGATGGTCACCCCCTCCCTCTTCGCCTGCGGGGGGAGAGAGAGGTGAGAATGGCAGCAGTAAAACCAGCTCATGGCTTCCTGCAGCTTCCGCAAGAGATTGCGTCACTTTTTTTCGCTCTTCTTCTCTCGATGCCCAGATTAATGGGCTTTTAATATACTCTCCACAATTGTGCCCTTTTTCCTGGAGCGCAGAGCAAATTCTCTCACGCCGTACTGCCAGGAAATGGGCACATTTCATTTAAATCGGAACAGTCATAGCTGGAGATTTTTATTTTATTTTTATTTTAGCATTTTATTCCATTTCCGGTGGCATTACATGCCAGTCCGATGGCTGCTCAGAAAGAAATAAAAAGATCGAGGCACCCTTCGGGAACCCATCGCAACACTTCTTCAAACACCAAACACATTTATTTTATTTATTTTCCGCACTGGCTCTCACCTCAATCCCACATCAATTACACGATTGCCCTCAATGTTTTCAAGAGCCTCTATAGACCTGTCCCCTCGCCTATCTCTCCCCTCTCATTTCATTTCCACTCCTCTCTCCGTGCCCTCTGCCCCTGCAATCAAGGCCTCCCTGTCGACACCTCTTGACACCACCTAATCAATCAATCAATCAATTGGGAGGTCACTCATTCTTTTCTGGTGGACTACATTGTCTTAAAATTCCCGACCATCTTCAAATCGAACTCACGCCCTGTTACGGATCAGACCTTCTCTCTTCTCCTCTGCTAAATGTTCTCGCTAGCTCACTCTCTCTCTCTCTCCCTTGCAGTTTATTTTACCTGCTCCCCTTCACCAGCTGCAAACTTGTTCTCCATGCTCTGAAAAATAGGGGCTCTTGTAATTGTATGCACATGTATTAATATATATTTACACAGCCATTTGTTAATCCACTGCTGGATGAGGGCCTCCCTGTGCTTGTGTGGATCGTCGGGGTTATTTGACCATACTTCGCCACGCCGATCAGTGCGGGTTGGTAAAGCCAGGGAAAGTAGAGCGTAGAAGTGCAGTATAACTCTGAATTTGACTGCACTGCCCTCGACATCCCATCAAGTTGCCCCACAGCCTACAACGCCTGTTATGCTCGGTGGTCTCCAAACCTTCCCAACCTGGAGCCTGTTTCTCGTCAAGGAGCATAAACTATCACGCAAACTCCGGTCATCCTCGCAAGGGCATTTGGCTCACCATCGAACAAAGACGGTGGCCACCACATTGCGCGCTTTCAGATGCGCTTCTGCGGGCCGTCTGGAACGATCTTCCTTCCGATATTAGGATGCCACTGGAGCAATGCACTTTAAAATTATCTAGATTAAAAATACATTTCGTTAGAACTGCTTTTTTTGTTTAAGTTGCTGTCCTTCCCCCGCACCTCTGACGAACAAGGTTTTCTATGTACGGTGCAAAAGAAGTTCAACATACATACATACTTTAGATTCTGAGTTCTGATGAAATCGGGCACCTATCGGACAATTTGGTCGTGGGCGTTGTGCATGTGGGAATTCCCAGCTCAAGATCGTCTATTTCCTTTTCCCCATGCTGCCTCTGTTCCTGACCACCTTCCCACCCCCTACTAACATTGCGTTTCTTTCAAACTCTCCTTATAAAGCATTGCAATCACACACTTCATAGATCCAAACGTTACTATGTCAAGTAACGCGCCACAATGTTTACGAAACTGTGCGATCCTTCCCGAATTCATTAAACATTTTTGACAGTTATTTTTCTAATTACTGCATGTGACTATTCGATAACATGAGGTGTGATGGGCATAAAAGTAGGTTAGCCGCATAAATATGCAGAATTGAACAACCGAACCCACATGAAGCGAAGGAAACCTGCATATATACGTATGCATATAAGTCTACTATAATAAGTGACATGACAATTCATCTGTAATATGATTACTCATTGCTGAAGCTTCAACCAAATTCAGTGGATGTTTTTGGGCGCTATCAGTGTTGGGGCTGAAATTGTAAAATAGTCTGCACATTTCAAAAGCCTTTGTTCGTCTTTAAAATTCAACTGGGTTCTCGAAACGGAAGGCTTAGTGTGCTTAGATTGGCAATAGCCTTTGAAGCCACAAAGTTATCTCGACACAGCTCAGATACCAAATAACCTGGATCATCCATACAGCACAAGAACACAACACAGCCTAAGTGCATTATGGTTGTAATATGTATCGGCACCGGGGAGCAGTGGTTATGAACCCGTGACCTTGAGTTTGATTCCAGATGACGACTAACATCAGAGACGGGTGATATCTGCGCGAATTCTGGCCTCTACTTTCACCAACATGCATGGTCCAGTGTGGTGAAGTATGGCCAACAAACCCCCAAAAATTAAAGGAACTCAAAGATCCTTAGATATGTGGGAGAAACATCCCAAGCTATATTGTACGGCTGCTGCCTTGTTATTGCCTTGTGTGACCAGGGAATGGAAGCTCGGGGTTTTCAGTTTTCTAAGGCTCTGTCCGAACCTCTCATTTCCACCATTCCCCATAAAATGCATGTGTAGTGACGCTGACACACGTTGTCCTTTAGTAGTAGGTTTTAACCCTTTTAAACTGGTACAAAACCTACCACTATATTTTGCCACTGGTAAAAGAGATCTCATAACGTTGTCCTTTATTAGGAGCCCTTATTCAGACCCAGCACTATCGAGGCCCAGGCTTGTATCTTGGTGCTTGAACTCCATCTTCTCTACATCCGCCCCATCCCCCGTGTGCTGTCCCCTTTCATACCCCTCGTGCCCCCTCTCTGGAAGCTTCGCTCGCCCCACTCCTTTCAGCCAATCCACGTCCTCCTCCACCAACGGTTGTCAACCGTCGCCTCAACCGTCGACCCTCACTTCCCACCTTTAACGTTTTTAATCTCCCCTCCAATCCCCTTTTGAACCTCGCCTCCCGACCAATCACCCTTGTAGGCCTCTCTGCACCGATCGGAGGCCGTGAACGCCTTCCTGACTGTCCGTCTTGCCTGTAGGATTGTCTTCGGTAAGCGGTCTGTTGCCTCGGTCATTGCACATTCAAATATGCGAGGTGTATACAAGCGGGACTTTAGAAGGACGGGGCGAAGAGTTGACGGCATGCGAATAAAATGAGCGATGGAATAAGGCAGCCAAGAGAATGAACGCACTGTTTGGGATTACATCAGGCGAGACAGAGCAATTCAAGCATGGCACTCTGTGAGCTCGTCGAATAAAAATTTCACGGATGGATTTACATACAACGTGCACAATATTGACTTCGAGCTGTGAACCCAGACCCTTTTTTAGTCACGTGGGTTGCTTATGATCTAGATTTGAAGCTTTCGTGACTGCAAGGATTCATACTCTTTGGTTTTTTCGGTAAAGTCACGTAGGTAAAACAATCAATGAAATAAAATAAGTGAAAATAACAAAATTAAATCACGACGTTTCGGAGGCAACACAAGCTTCCTTCATCAGGTGTAAAAAAGGCACAGCAAAATAACTGTAGCGAGAGTTATTTGTGATGAGACATTGTTATATAGGGTAAGAAGAGAGGGAGGAGCCAAGGAGGACCTGATGAAGGAAGCTTGTGTTGCCTCCGAAACGTCGTGATTTAATGTAGTTATTTTCACTTATTTTATTTCATTGATTGTTTTACCTACGTGACTTTACCGAAAACAACAAAGAGTATGTCTTCTTGGTTCTTTCGGTAAAGTCACGTAGAAGGGAAATAATAAAATAATAAAAATAAAACATAATAAAATAATTCTCACGACGCTTCGGCCACAACGCAAGCAGCCGTCCTCAGGTGAAACATTCATGAAACATTCATTCAGACGCTGTCTTTCTGACAGACCTGTTCTTCACCTGAGGACGGCTGCTTGCGTTGTGGCCGAAACGTCGTGAGAATTATTTTATTATGTTTTATTTGTATTATTGTATTATTTCCCTTCTACGTTACTTTATCGAAAGAACCAAGAAGATGAATCCCTGCAGTCACGAAAGCTTTAAAACAAAGAGTATGCTTATAATCTATTGCGTAGCACGTGAGACTGCATTCCAGAACGGTTTCACACACGCCAGCACAATGATCAACAGCCAATTCGCGCAATTGCATGAATAAATAACACTTTTTGATGGCTATAAGGTGTAAGACAATGCACATTCATAACTCAAATGATGACACAAGGGTGAAATTTAGCTCTGAAATGTGTAACACTTTTCTCCATAGAACCATATAAAAATATACAAAATGCTTTCAAATATGTGTTTCCTTCATACCTTTCCATAATTTAATCCAATTATGCAATTGGTGTCGCATTGCGAAGATCCATTTGGATCTCCATGTGTTCGAGAAGAGTCTGCGGAAGGTGATGTCCTAAAACTACTCATTAATATTTTCTCAACTGACGTTTTTAATTCACTTAGGGACCACTACAATTTCCCCATGCATTATGATGCAGAGAAGTGTCCGTTTTTACGACAGTCAAACTGATATTCTGAATTCTCAAGAGTTATGTTTTTTGTGCAAAAATACGTGGATGTAAAAATGTCGCGACAATTTTGCTTTGGTTCGTGACTGGACTGAGCCCATCAACTGACTGCATGAGGCAAAAAAAAACATACAACGAAGTCAAATTTCAAATTCAACAAGAGTCTGAACATAATTACAAAGTGGCAAAAAGTTTTTTAATGAAAGTACTTCCAATAATCTCCTATTATTTATGGCCGAACATTAGCACCCATCATTTTACAGGTAATTAAAAAATCGTCTTAAACCGAATTGAATCAGATATAGCGAGGCCAGACAGAAGGGGCAGCTGGCTATTTGGATTTGAGGCTCATCTTTGCCAAGTATATTTTAAGCGCTGGCATGTCACAACATACGTGCCCTTACACTCTGACATGTGCCCTTACGCCATGAAATTCGTCATTATATGCAGTTGTTGAATGAGCCGCTTGGATCTGAGACATTGTGCCAATTATCAAGATGAGCCAATGATCTTCATTAAAAAAGAAATGCGACCAATTACTGCGTGAATTGCTTGAAAATAATGGTTTTACAGCCTGCATTATTACGATGTTTTTTCTTATTATCATCATCATCATCATAATTTACAGATTCTACTAATTACTAACAAGGAGATATGGAAACCCAGCCAAAGCAAGCGTAGTGGAAGGAGCATTACCAACGCAGACGTAGACCAAAGAAGTCAAGGCAGAGGCATGAGTGTTAATTATGGCTGCAGGGTGGAAGTTACAAACATTATAAGCCTTGGGTAATCATCTCGGGTGGCTGTCCTGAATCCAGTGGTGCGAATTCCTCATTCCCATCGTAGTCCAATGGCTTATGACAAAACTGTTGAATTCCCACGGTGTGCTTTCTCATTTTATCGATCTTTGGAAGGATGCTGGGTTGAACCTATCCGACTAAACGTTTTACTCGTAACCCTTGTGATTAAATTTAAAGACAATTGCTGTGTTTATGGGAAGGCCTTCATCCAAGCAGTGTATATAGTCCGGTCACTGATATCCTTACAGCCTGTGTTAAACATTACAAGCAATTACATGCCTTAGAAAATAGATGGTTTACTTCTCACCTCCATGTATACCTCCTCCTAAACTTCAAGCCAAACAATGAATAGCACGTTTGTCTACGTACGGTGCGAAGTAAGTTCAACATACATACAAGACAAATGTAAACGTTACGTTGTGTGCTGCTTTATTGATCACGGTGCAGTGTTCATTTTATGTTTACAGCGCTCGGGCAGTGGTGGAAATTCCACATTCCTATGACAGAGGCGAGTATTTTTGTAAGACAACCACTGATGACTTCTTCACAAAGTGGTACTCCTATTTATCCACCCCAAAGGGATGATGATGGGACTGAATGAAACCCCCGATAAGAGGGGCTTTTGAACTTGGAAACCTTTCGAATGCGAGCTTCACTCTCCGCAGCTGAGCCACGGGGCTGGTTAGAAAGACGGAGAGATTTCATTTGTTGGTAACCAGGTGAGAGACCATTGAGACGAGGGAGTCTCGTTTTCAAGAGAGATACGGGTCAATATAAAAGCACCTCCAACAAACCAGAGAAATCGTGACAAACATAGTGCAGTACATATTCTTGGTTCTTTCGGTAAAGTCACGTAATTAGAAAAAAAAAGAGAATAATAATAATAAAATAAAAATAAAATTTGTAACAATACAAATTAAAAATATATATATAAATTTAAAATAATAAAAGCGCCCGATGACGACGGCTTGTGGTGCGATCGAAATGTCGTGGGTTTTTTCTTTTATTATTTTCAATGTATTTTAAAAAAAATTGCTTTTATTATTTTCAACGTGTTATTTTTACTTTATTTTTATTATTTGAATTGTAATTTTATTATTATATATTTTTTTTCTAATTACGTGACTTTACCAAAAGAACCAAGAATATGAATTCCTGCAGTACAATTCGAAAACATCTGAGAGGGCTACATAGCCCAAGTGTGAAAAGCTATACAGAGAATCTCGTACAAATAATGAAGACGTCTTGGATTCGCATGTGTTGTACGCAATGAAATCACGTGACCCTCTGCAGCTCACTAATGGACATCCACAGTCACCATAATGGTAACAAATACATAATTTTATCGCGACATTGCATGCGTATCGTAAGGCTAGGAAGCCGCTATAATTCCAGACGTATTCTTGAACCTGGACTTGAACACTGGGGCAGGGTGCAGGGTGCCCGCAGAACGAATATGCGACAAACATCGTTCACCTAAATCGGCCACAGCTCTAGCGGGGAATATGAAAAAGGCGTCGTCTGTATGTGATGCCCTGCGATAAATGCTCAGCTCTGCTACGAACCACGCTGGTTGTCCCCAAAAAAGATCACTGTTGCCCCCACATGTCCCTTCCGAGTGCCGGTAAAAGCACGCTAGGGCTACGTATTATGCACTTTAACATCCAGATTGAAAACTCATTTCTTTAGAGCACCTTTTTTGTGTTGTTGTCTATCCCCTGCACCTCTGATTACCACGGTTGGTTGGCTACGTGTGGTGCAACAGAAGTTCAACATGCATACGCACACTGCTCTACTGAAAGTAGACACAGGCGCTTGTAAATAAACAACAAGGTGCAGTTATGCAATTACTATCATGGCTGGCGACATATCGTGCGAAAGAAGTTCAACATACATGCATGCAAGCCATGCGGTGGTACAAGCACACTAATTGTAGGGTGGAGTGGAAGAACAGTGGTTAATTCTAGATTTGAAGCTTTCGTGACTGCAAGGATTCATACTGTTAGGTTTTTTCGGTAAAGTCACGTGACTTTACCGAAAAAACCAAGAAGATGAATCCCTGCAGTCACGAAAGCTTTAAATCGAAAGTCACGTAGGTAAAAATTTTTTTTTTATAAAAGTAAAATAAAAATCACGACGTTTCGGAGGCAACACAAGATTCCGTCTTCAGGTGACGGAAGCTTGTGTTGCCTCCGATACGTCGTGATTTTTATTTTACTTTTATTAATTTTTATTTTATTTTTTTTACCTACGTGACTTTACCGAACCGTGCTTAGCCAGGTGACCCAGAGTTCGATTACCTGGCCATGGGGAGTGATATTTGAACGTCGCCTCCAACACCAACCCGCCACTGCCCAGTGCGGCGAAGGATGGTCAAACAGCCCCCAAGGCTGACGCTGCATGGGGAGAACTCCACGAAGCAGTGGATTGGCAAAGGTCTGCACATATGTTGTTGTTATTATTACAGTTTCAAATGTCTTATTCTTTCCAGGACATTAATATTCCTGCTTTTTGTCAGTTGGGTAATATTACACCACTAGGGAAAATGCATGTACATGTAGTTCTCCCAACTTCTGGTATTGTGAGATATGCTTATTACCGGTGATGTCCATGAGCCCTACCTTCTATACATGAACCATTTTTCGGATGCATTTTTGCAACCTGCAGCTGACGAAAACAAGTTAGGAATGGAAGTGCTGACTCCTTGACTGATATACCAACAACATGTCTTCATGACTGAACTGCAGAATCCATGCGAACGCATTGCTAAATTGGGCAAGCGTCAGTTGGAAATTCCCATATGTGCAAACACATCACAAAAACGTACAGAAATTTTGTTTTCTAATATGCTGCTCTATTTTGGAATGAGATGACAGTAACAAGGGTAAAAAGGTGCAGCCCTGCAATTCCCCGCTCTCGCCACTGCTGACGAAAAGGCCTCCACTGATTCGCGTGGTTGGCTACGTACGGTGTACGTACGGTGTGAAATAAGTTAAAATAAATCAACCTGACGAAGCTCTAGACAACCCCTCAAAAATGTGCAGATATAATGTTTGCGCCACTACGTGCCCTCTGATAACGTGAGTGGCATTACTTAATACACGGTCATTCACTGTTGTATGTAACTGCATGGCAAGCATTAGCGACCTCTTCACCGACCAGGTGACTCAGTGGTAACAGCGGGCGGCTCCCAATCGAGAAGTTTTGCAACTTCAAATCGTGGTTTGGGATTTACTCAGTCCATCATCCGTTCCGGGAGCGGGGGGTCAAAAACCGAGCACCACTTTACTTCGTGAAGATATCGGTGTTGAATCTTTGAGAGTTAACACATTCCTGCGGAGGGAGCTGGTAGGAACGTTGGGTTGCTCGGTCAATGGCCAGGGTCAACGGCGGCGTCGTGTATTCGGGCGGGCACAAGCCGGCGTGAGTAGGTTAAACGTTGAGTTTTATAAGGGCACCACGGGGTGACCAGCCCCTCCCCACCCAGCCCCACCCCTCCACCCCCTCCCACCCAGCCCCTCCCCACCCGCCCCACCCAGCCCCTCCCCACCCTCCCCACCCAGCCCCACCCTCCCCCACCCAGCCCCTCCCCACCCTCCCCTCCCCACCCTCCCCTCCCCACCCAGCCCCTCCCTGCACGACGGACGGACACAATAATCCCCTGTGGGCTGGTGTAACCAGGAGGTTCCTACCAGTAAAAATCGCAATGCGTGGCCACGGTGCAGTCACCGCGTGTGTCCACTAAGTGGCGTTTGCGTCCGTTGAAACTCTGCAGACCTGGAGCCAGCCATTTCATATCCGTGCAGCAGAGGGCACGTGGTGAGCATTTGCTGCAAAAGAAAAGCCTCTGCCACGGAAAGAAACGTTTCCCAATTTGTTTTCATCGCCTCTCCAGCCGAGACTCACCGCTCACGTTCATGTCAAGCTCCGACCGCAGACATTTTGTATCGAGCGCGTGCGTGTGTATGAGGGTTGCCCACATCTTGACGAGGTAAAAACAAAAACACTGAATCTTTCAGAATCGGTTTTTTTTTTCCTTAAGAAATCCGATGACCTATGAAGGTCGTTTTCACCGACGTCTGGTCAAACCGGGAGATTTCATGGTAAGATATCTGGCAGCACGGGAAGAGGGCATGGCTATTTGTGGATGCATTACGCGACTGATCAAAACCGTAACCAATTCATGTTCCCCGGAAGACTTCATACATTTCAGCTGCCTCCTCGACAAGAGGGCGATCCTTAAAAAACCCGGAGAGTTTGCAACTAGCAATTATTTGCGACTGATATTTTCGCCGTGGGCTTTCTCCGAAACGGTCATTCGTGGAATTGGCCAAACATCCCAGTGCAGGACATTCCTGTAATGGACTTGAAACTCAATGAAGCTTTCCTGGTTCAATAATTTGTATTTTTGTTATGTTTCACATTTTTATTTGACCAACAAAAATAGCACTTTTAGATAAGAAAAACAGGTTTCAACCAAAATAACTTAATAATTTTAACTTAGCATTTACGCGTTTAAAAATGTTCGTGTTATTAGGGGGCACAACAAAGCTCCCTCGAATAAAGCGTATTAAGTATTTATTTTAGTAACTGAGCGCGGGTCGAGAGAACCAAAAAAAAAACACTTCAACTTGTTATGGTGCGCACGGAATTAATGAACCAAAATATGTTTACGGTTCAACTGAATGGTGGTGAAAACTGCCAATTGCCAATCAATGTATTGTTCTTATTATTAATATTCATTTTTAATGGGGGAGTGCATGATGAGCGTAAGACCTAAGAAAACATGTTTATTGTTTGAAAGGTCGCGATGGCACGGAACTAATTAATCACATTTTTTGGCTGTGCCGATAAGCCGTCGGACCTCGTGAGAACAATGTCAAGACGCAAAATGGCCATCCTTTGATGCCATTTAATTGCCGCAATATCGACGCACACTCGCCGCTCCGCGTATGCTTTCTCATTACAGAGCGATGCGCTCTCTCTCAATGCTTAACACCATCGCCGAACCAACCCCTCGCAAAATTTCGATTTAAAGCTTTCGTGACTGCAGGGATTCATCTTCTTGGTTCTTTCGGTAAAGTCACGTAGACCCCTCGCACTTTGGTGCACCATCGTGACATCGGTGCATTCGTGACCCACCTGCTCTCAATTCACCGTTGAAGTAGGACAGCCTCTCCCCACACATTGTGTCGGTTGTGGTTGCCGTGTTTGACCATACTTCACCACGCTGGACGGTGCCAGGCTGGTGAAGAAGTGACGGGGGTGAAGGAGGTGAGGGGGAATTGCCTGGTTCAGATATCGCTGGCGACTGACATCGGCGTGGCTGGGAATCGAACTCGGGTGGCAAAGGTTCGTGGCACAGTAAGGAGCACACACTACGCCATTACTCACGTGATGACGGGACAATGATTCACTCCCCTCCTCCTCCTCACCGAGCTGCTCCCCCAACGATCCGATGAATTTCCACAATTCTGGGCCAAATAATTCTTTTTTTTTCACTCGTCATTCCGTCTCGTTTCTAACGTTTCTCATTAATTTGTTTTCTCTCATTTGTAGGTGTTTTGCATCAATGAGCGAAGATGTAACCGCCGGTATGTAATTAGCATCCACTTATCAATCGACTGCTTGATGAAGGCCCCCTGATGATGATACTGTGTCGGCCATGGTGAGAGTAGTTTTGACCATATTTCACCAACGTGGCCAGTGGGTTAGTGAAGTGGGTTGGTGAAGTGAGTTGGTGAAGTGAGTTGGTGACTTTGATTGGTGAATTGAGTTGGTGAAGTGGGTGAAGTGAGTTGGTGAAGTGAGTTGGTGACGTTGATTGGTGAAGTGAGTTGGTGAAATGAGTTGGTGAAGTGAGTTGGTGACTTTGATTGGTGAATTGAGTTGGTGAAGTGGGTGAAGTGAGTTGGTGAAGTGAGTTGGTGACGTTGATTGGTGAAGTGAGTTGGTGAAATGAGTTGGTGAAGTGAGTTGGTGAAGTGAGTTGGTGAAGTGAGCTGGTGAAGTGAGTTGGTGAAGTGAGTTGGTGAAGTGGGTTGATGAAGTGAGTTGGTGAAGTGAGTCGGTGAAGTGAGTTGGTGAAGTGAGTTGGTGAAGTGAGTTGGTGAAATGAGTTGGTGAAGGGAGTTGGTGAAGTGAGTTGGTGAAGTGAGTTGGTGAAGTGAGTTGGTGAAGTGAGTTGGTGAAGTTGGTGAAGTGAGTTGGTGAAGTGGGTTGATGAAGTGAGTTGGTGAAGTGGGTTGGTGAAGTGAGTTGGTGAAGTTGGTGAAGTGAGTTGGTGAAGTGAGTTGGTGACGTGAGTTGGTGAAGTGAGTTGGTGAAGTTGGTGAAGTGAGTTGGTGAAGTGAGTTGGTGAAGTGAGTTGATAAAGTGGGTTGATGAAGTTGGTGAAGTGAGTTGGTGAAGTTGGTGAAGTGAGTTGGTGAAGTGAGTTGGTGAAGTGAGTTGGTGAAGTGAGTTGGTGAAGTTGGTGAAGTGAGTTGGTGAAGTGAGTTGGTGAAGTTGGTGAAGTGAGTTGGCTAAGTTGGTGAAGTGAGTTGGTGAAGTGAGTTGGTGAAGTGAGTTGGTGAAGTGAGTTGGTGAAGTTGGTGAAGTGAGTTGGTGAAGTGAGTTGGTGAAGTGATTTGGTGAAGTGAGTTGGTGACGTGAGTTGGTGAAGTTGGTGAAGTGAGTTGGTGAAGTTGGTGAAGTGAGTTGGTGAAGTGAGTTGGTGAAGTGAGTTGGTGAAGTGGGTTGATGAAGTGAGTTGGTGAAGTTGGTGAAGTGAGTTGGTGAAGTTGGTGAAGTTGGTGAAGTGAGTTGGTGAAGTGAGTTGGTGAAGTTGGTGAAGTGAGTTGGTGAAGTGAGTTGGTGAAGTGAGTTGGTGAAGTGAGTTGGTGAAGTGAGTTGGTGAAGTTGGTGAAGTGAGTTGGTGAAGTGAGTTGGTGAAGTGGGTGAAGTGAGTTGGTGAAGTGAGTTGGTGAAGTTGGTGAAGTGAGTTGGTGAAGTGAGTTGGTGAAGTGAGTTGGTGAAGTGAGTTGGTGAAGTTGGTGAAGTGAGTTGGTGAAGTTGGTGACGTGAGTTGGTGAAGTGAGTTGGTGAAGTAAGTTGGTGAAGTGAGTTGGTGAAGTGAGTTGGTGAAGTTGGTGAAGTGAGTTGGTGAAGTGAGTTGAGTTGGTGAAGTGAGTTGGTGACGTGAGTGGTGAAGTGAGTTGGTGAAGTGAGTTGGTGAAGTGAGTTGGTGAAGTGAGTTGGTGAAGTGAGTTGGTGAAGTGAGTTGGTGAAGTGAGTTGGTGAAGTGAGTTGGTGAAGTGAGTTGGTGAAGTGAGTTGGTGAAGTGAGTTGGTGAAGTGAGTTGGTGAAGTGAGTTGGTGAAGTGAGTTGGTGAAGTGAGTTGGTGAAGTGAGTTGGTGAAGTGAGTTGGTGAAGTGAGTTGGTGAAGTGAGTTGGTGAAGTGAGTTGGTGAAGTGAGTTGGTGACGTGAGTTGGTGAAGTGAGTTGGTGAAGTGAGTTGGTGACGTGAGTTGGTGAAGTGAGTTGGTGACGTGAGTTGGTGAAGTGAGTTGGTGAAGTGAGTTGGTGAAGTGAGTGGTGAAGTGAGTTGGTGAAGTGAGTTGGTGAAGTGAGCTTGGTGACGTGAGTTGGTGAAGTGAGTTGGTGAAGTGAGTGGTGAAGTGAGTTGGTGAAGTGAGTTGGTGACGTGAGTTGGTGAAGTGAGTTGGTGAAGTGAGTTGGTGACGTGAGTTGGTGAAGTGAGTTGGTGAAGTGAGTTGGTGACGTGAGTTGGTGACGTGAGTTGGTGAAGTCAGTTGGTGAAGTGGGTGAAGTGAGTTGGTGAAGTGAGTTGGTGAAGTTGGTGAAGTGAGTTGGTGAGGTGAGTTGGTGAAGTGAGTTGGTGAAGTTGGTGAAGTGAGTTGGTGAAGTTGGTGACGTGAGTTGGTGAAGTGAGTTGGTGAAGTGAGTTGGTGAAGTGAGTTGGTGAAGTGAGTTGGTGAAGTTGGTGAAGTGAGTTGGTGAAGTGAGTTGGTGAAGTGAGTTGGTGAAGTGAGTTGGTGAAGTGAGTTGGTGAAGTGAGTTGGTGAAGTGAGTTGGTGACGTGAGTTGGTGACGTGCGTTGGTGAAGTGAGTTGGTGAAGTGAGTTGGTGAAGTGAGTTGGTGAAGTGAGTTGGTGAAGTGAGTTGGTGAAGTGAGTTGGTGACGTGAGTTGGTGACGTGAGTTGGTGAAGTGAGCTGGTGAAGTGAGTTGGTGAAGTGAGTTGGTGAAGTGAGTTGGTGAAGTGAGTTGGTGACGTGAGTTGGTGAAGTGAGTTGGTGAAGTGAGTTGGTGACGTGAGTTGGTGAAGTGAGTTGGTGAAGTGAGTTGGTGAAGTGAGTTGGTGAAGTGAGTTGGTGAAGTGAGTTGGTGAAGTGAGTTGGTGAAGTGAGTTGGTGAAGTGAGTTGGTGAAGTGAGTTGGTGAAGTGAGTGGTGAAGTGAGTTGGTGAAGTGAGTTGGTGAAGTGAGTTGGTGAAGTGAGCTGGTGAAGTGAGTTGGTGAAGTGAGCTGGTGAAGTGAGTTGGTTAGTGAGTTGGTAAAGTGAGTTGGTGAAGTGATTTGGTGAAGTGAGTTGGTGAAGTTGGTGAAGTGAGTTGGTGAAGTTGGTGACGTGAGTTGGTGAAGTGAGTTGGTGAAGTGAGTTGGTGAAGTGAGTTGGTGACGTGAGTTGGTGAAGTGGGTTGATGAAGTGAGTTGGTGAAGTGAGTTGGTGAAGTGAGTTGGTGAAGTGAGTTGGTGAAGTGAGTTGGTGAAGTGAGTTGGTGAAGTGAGTTGGTGACGTGAGTTGGTGAAGTGGGTTGATGAAGTGAGTTGGTGAAGTTGGTGAAGTGAGTTGGTGAAGTTGGTGAAGTTGGTGAAGTGAGTTGGTGAAGTGAGTTGGTGAAGTGAGTTGGTGAAGAGAGTTGGTGAAGTGAGTTGGTGAAGTGAGCTGGTGAAGTGAGTTGGTGAAGTGAGTTGGTGAAGTGAGTTGGTGAAGTTGGTGAAGTTGGTGAAGTGAGTTGGTGAAGTGAGTTGGTGAAGTTGGTGAAGTGAGCTGGTGAAGTGAGTTGGTGAAGTGAGTTGGTGAAGTGAGTTGGTGAAGTTGGTGAAGTGAGTTGGTGAAGTTGGTGAAGTGAGTTGGTGAAGTGAGCTTGTGAAGTGAGTTGGTGAAGTGAGTTGGTGAAGTGAGTTGGTGAAATTGGTGAAGTGAGTTGGTGAAGTGAGCTTGTGAAGTGAGCTGGTGAAGTGAGTTGGTGAAGTGAGTTGGTGAAGTGAGTTGGTGAAGTGAGTTGGTGAAGTGAGTTGGTGAAGTGAGTTGGTGACTTTGATTGGTGAATTGAGTTGGTGAAGTGGGTAAAGTGAGTTGGTGAAGTCAGTTGGTGAAGTTGGTGAAGTGAGTTGGTGAAGTTGGTGAAGTGAGTTGGTGAAGTTGATTGGTGAAGTGGGTGCCCCCCCCCAGGATAGGTTAAGATAGATGGCCAAGGAATAAAACTCACGTGACCGGGATCAAATTATATAATTTCACAACTTGTAAAAGCATAAATCCTCACACGTGCGATTAAATCTGTCCATTGGGAGTCTGGAGAATTGATAGTAATCCATAAATCAATGAATGCATTGGTACCCAAATATTTGCAAGTGAAAGTGATGTGTGCATATTATTATTGTGCACCTTTGTGCAAAAGGTACGTTTTTTTCTTGAAAATGTCTTAATTAACAAGAGAGGGGGGAAAACAGACGCATACGTGAACATATTTGCATACGAATAGCATATATATAAAAAAAATACACATACAAATTGCGCATCTATCCAAGGCGTTAAATTGGGTGTAACGTGTTCAGAAAAAATAACAGAATGGAAAAGACTGAGAAATGAAAAACTGTTATCCCCTACACTGCAGCGAACAACACCACCACCACCACCACCGCGATGCCTTGCTTGCTGTTTGCTTTCATTGTCAGCGTGTGTATGGTTGCTTTTGTGAACACACAGTTGTGGGAAATTGCTAAACCATACGTGGCATTTGGGTGTCTTGGAGAAATGAATTATTAATGGAAAACCCATGCATATTCTTTGAGGTTGGACACTTGTTTCTTAAAGGTCTAGTTTTCAGGTATGTGTTTGTCTCTCTATGTTGTTTCTACGCTCCACAATAATTATTCCTTGAGTTGGAGCACTGAGCCCAGCACTGCAGACAACCATGGAGTTTAAAGCCCAGTTTCAGCCGCCAATATTTAAATTCGTTTCGCAAGTGCGAAGGGTCAATCGTCGCAGCCCGGCCACGAATGGATTGCATCAAATCACCTTCCAAAGTTAAGCTCGCTTTCCTCAATTAAATTTGCCTAAGATTGAAAGAACGTCAGGAATCGTACCCCGAAAGTCAGAATAACAATCCAGAAAGTAATTTAAAAAATCGTGTCACGAAAACCGGCCTTTTAAATATCTACGAAGTGTTTTTATTTTCCTGAATGATGTTTCTTCACCTCGACTGATGAATGAACAATTTCGATCTCGATTCGAGTTGGGCAACGGACTCGATTTCAGCGAGTTTTGGGCCGATCGTTTTCAAAGCACTATTATTATTATTGCAGTTCGCAAGTTAAGTGCTTATTCACATCCTGTACACAGCAAGTCGAGGTTTTAATGCAGAGCATATGCAGCAAAAGTTGTTATTATTATTGACAGAGAAAATAGATTAGACGTGCGACAACCAATAAACCATTTGACATTGAGCCGTAATATTGTTACAATTTACCACTGTTTTGTTTATAAAATGAATGTCTCTTTAACAGCATCCATTTCGTGATAACAGATGTTTGGCAAGTATTTAA